CTTCGAATTGTTCAAAAAACACAAGTCATTTATTTGGTACTGCATTCTGAGAAAATTAGCTCAGAATTGTTCAAAAAAGCAAAAAAAAATAAAATAAAATAAAAAATAAAAATCCCTTAGATTCTAGCTGTATTTTTTTTTAATCAATAGCTAACCACTAGTGCCAAATCTGGATAACGTTTTCTGATGCATTCACAGGCAATTTCCAGTTGCACCGGGTCCATTGCTTCATCGGGCGCCACGTGCAGTGCTAGCATCTCTCGAGTGATAAGCATCCGGGCTCGGCTTGACGAAAGTATATCGGCTGTTTGGAGATCCAATTTTTTGGTGGAATCGCTGGATTGCTCTTGCACTGGGGCTACTGGTAGGCCAATTTTGAAAAGGCTTCGTTTTCTAGCCAGTTCAGGATCCTCAGTTCTCGGTGCTGAAGTCTGGGCAACTGCTGTTCCACTTGTAGTTCGCGTATCTCTGAAACTGGGATCTTTTTTTTTTCATTAAAGTTAAAAAAAACCCTTTTCGTCTCATAAAAAAACAAAAATCTAATTTTCTCATAAAACAAAAAATCTAAAAATAAAAATCTAAAAATCTAACTGCTAAAAAATCTAATTTTTTTTTTGCTTACTAATATAAAAATTTTTACTAAAAATCATACTATAAGTATACTTACGTATCTTTTGAAACTGTCAAATTGCTGATGTTCTGTATAAGAGGTGCCAGCAAAGCAATTTCATCTTCTAAAAAAGTCAACCAATTAATGAATATTCGATTAAAGGTAATGAAAAATCTCATCCTTAATTTCATTTCGTCAAAAAATAAGACTAAAATAGAGGGGGTCATAGAAGGCCGAACCAAAATTGGACGGCCCAATGTAGGGCCGAAAAGGGTGAAATTGTCAAGTGATTTTTTTCAGCCGTTGGCGGGCCAAACCACACCTGCTGGTATGGTAAATAACGGCCCATACAGTCCAAGAAAATTCAGAACGGCTGAATTCCTAAAGCTTTAAGTTCCCAAAGGAATAGCACTTCCTCCAGAAGGATGGAACAAGGGGGGAAGAAGCTGAAGGTAGCCACGACAATCAACAAGCTTATTATCCCCACATGATGCAACTTCGGTCACAACAACCAAGTAGTAGGGTTGCTAAGTGTATCGAAATTATGCTAAAGAAGGTATGCCCGAGGTGTTACTTGAAAATTGCTTTTTCACGGAACCCAAATTTACGCTGATAATCCCAATCGGAGACGAAACGCTGACCACTGAGCCATACGGTTTGTGGTATCTTTCAAGGAGATACCCTTTCGCCGACATTGTTCATCCTTGCTATCGCACCACTCAGCCATGCCCTCAATGACTCGGTCCCTCCACTAAATTCATCTTCGGGGTGGTTAAAAGGTTTCGGATTCCGCCTGGGTCATCAATTTTACATGGATGACCTTAAGTTATACGCACGGAATCCCGGGGATCTGGGCCGCCAAAGTGAAGTGGCAAAATAACTAGAAAATACACAAATTGTACAATTTGGAAAGATGCCAAGATTATCCAAATATTTCAAAAAATGAAAAAAAAGACAAAAAAACTGTTGGCAGTTTGTAGAAAAAAAAAAAATTAACTGTTAATTATTATGATGAATGGCAATAATCAATATTAAATTTCTACCTTCACAGTCAGTTTCGATCGTACGAGGATTCACACCAAAAGCTAAAAAGTAGTAGTCAGGCCCGAAAATACTCTCAGCTACCGCAGAATAATTATTGCCAGTCACTGAAAATGTATGTCTCACTAAACGATCTCTGGACAAATTACTGTCGACCATACTAACTGTCCTGTCTAAAAAAACAGGAATAAAATGAGCAATATCATGGCTAGCATTACCACCATTCTGTTGGCGCCCGGCCAAATTCATAGTCCATAAAAATTCCGCAAAAATTATGCTTTTTTATATCAAATACATTTCAAAATTGGGTTGTAGATTTCAGTGAAAGTGTAAATTATTACTAGAATTTGCGGGGCTGGCCCTGGAAGACACCATCAGTGATGAATTGTGGTGCATTTTAAAAGCCGAAATCAATTGAGGAATTTGGGCACACGGTCCAAAAAAAACGCATAAAAAATACGGAAAAAAAAATGATTGCCCTGGAAATACAGAAATCATGAATTTTTGGCCTGATCACCAATCATGAATTTTCGCATAAAAAATACGGAAAAAAAATGATTGCCCTGGAAATCATGAATTTTTGGCCTGATCACCGACATGATAAGTAAGAAAAAATCGAGAGAACTGACCAAATCTTTGCTTTGGTCAAAGCAAATCGCGGAAAAAAAGGCTCATGGCAGATCGTCGGCATGATGAAAAGCGAAAGCAATTCATCCTTCGTAATGCCTAAGGCCACCAAAAATTTCACTAATTTTTGCAAAATTTTTGCTCAAATTACTCAAATTAATAGCTATTTAACCAGATTAAGAACTATTTTCAAATAATTACCAAATTATTAGCCTATTTTTCACAATCAACTTTGCTCTCGACCTGTACCAAAATTTAGCTTTTTTTCGACTAAACGTAGTTCAGTACAACTATTTTCAAACAAATGCCAAATTAACGGCTATTTCGTGATTAGCTTTGCCCTCGACCTATTGCCAGAACATAGAAAATTGACCAAAAACAAAAAAAAATCAATGATATACCTGATTTGAAAGACGTTCTTTGGAGACCATGAAAGGCATAGGTACCGAAGAGATCATCACGTGCAGCAACCCGGGCATCTTTCAGCCACTCCAACCATTGCTGGTGAGTTCGCTGGATTTCCGTCAAGCTTTGTCTGTTCTGGGTAAGTGCCATCTTAAATTTTTAAGCGATAAAAAAATACCGCAAAAACACAGGGAG